TCTGGGACACCTGCTCATTACCCGAAATCTTTTTGGTCGTTCGGTAAATTACCTAACTCTCCGGAAATTACATCACTACCTCCGAACTGAAGGTTCGAAGACAGCGATATAGTTTCCGGAGAGTTAGGTAATTTACCGAACGACCAAAAAGATTCGGGTGATGAGCAGGTGTCCCAGAAATTATGATAATAGCTGTAATATCGGATCTTATTATTAAGATCCGGATCTTACAATTAAGATCCGAATTTAAGTATTAACTCTACCTCCACCAACGGACTTCAACAAACTTCTCAATCATAAATTTATATAGTATCTAAAACTTGGTTTAAAAAAAATTATGGGATTTGCAAAAATTTTGATTACGTATTTGATTGGCCAAAGGAAAATACATCCGAGCCACCGAGCCATATAGCGTATATTATATATAACTTTTAAGTTTTGCAAATTTTTTTTTCACCTAAATTTGAATCTACTTGACACTTTTATTAATAATTAAAATTTAGTCAATTAAACTTTTTTCTTAACTTCATTAATTGTTAATTTTACGATATTATAGAAAATTATATTTATTATGCTACAAAAAATATAGTTTTTGATGCATTTGTAGTATAAATGTTCGCGTTAATTGTTTTTTAAACAATTAAAATTATTAAACATTTGTAATGATTTTACAAACTATGACAAATAATTTTGAAACAATTCGGAAACTGGCAAGACGGAAAATGGATATATTCGTGAATATCTAATCATAAAGTCTTGCTATTGTCTTAGGTTTTTTTTCGACTCAAGTCTAACAAAAAAAGTAAAGGACTTTGTCGAAGAATTGGTAAGGATACTATTCGTACATACATATTAGCGAAAACATTCAATTTTCAAAATCTGACGTGACTATTGAGATTAAAAGTGATACTTTAATCGCGATCATCATAAAATTTCTCCCACGATCCTGTCTTTATTACATTTATTGAACAGCATCAAAAACTTATATACCAACATAAAATGCCCAAGTGCGACCCGCCTAAGTAACGTTTTGTCGCCCGAGGGATCCTCAACTTTCTGAAGATTTATTACCCTAATTCCTCGGCTGGATGCTGCCGACCTCACCTACTTATTTGGTTTGTTGAAACGTGATCCAGAAGGACTACTCCGGCTTGATGCGGTACTTAATCAACTTTCCTTCGCTAAGCCTAGATCTTTTTTTCTGGATTCGAGCTTTTGCGTTTTCTTTGTCTTTATTCTTGTCTGTTCTTTTTGTTCTAGTTAGTTCTTTTTTTTTTTTTTTTGTTATGCATAGCTCTTTTTTTCAATCATTAACTAGCTCGCATCTGAAGTTCCAGATGTGCTGTTGGAATCTTTCTTCGAACTTTCTAAATACTGCATTTAGTATTCTTCTAGCTGTTTCATTGTCTTTTATGCTGTTTTTGATGCATTCCTTTCTTTATTTTGTTATAAAATTTCTTATAAGTTACTTATCAGTTTATATATATATAGTTTATATTATTGGTTTTATAGATGATTTATTAGTTTTTATATAGTTACTCTATAAATTTTATAATTATTAATAGAATTAATCTTATAGATCGTTTACGCTCTTATCAATTTTTATATAGTTCTTATTAATTATATATTACATCTAATTTTAAATTCGTACTAAAAATTTCTGGATCCTTTTGAACGGTGAATATTGTCACTAGGAATCGCCTTTATGGCGATTTTTTATTAGCGAAACGTTACATTCTCAAAAAGTGCTTTAAAACATATAAATAAGTTTGCTGGGCAATCGGCAAATTAAACGAAAATCTTTCTATGAATAGCTTATCGACTGACTTTAACCCGGTGAATATAGAAATAGAATTATAAAATTTAAATAATCTTAATGATCAAGATTGAAAACTTTTAAACCGTCTTATCATAAAACGTAATAGAACTTACATAAGAAAAGCGATAAGGTATTTTAAATAATTCACATTTAAGATAATATGCAAAAAGTTTTTCTAAATATATAGTCCGTTATTTTTCTGATTGATTAAATTGTAGATTATCGTCATATTTAATAATATAATTTTCAATAGAAATAAAAACGAAATTCTAATAGATAAATTGATTTTATTGGCTAAAGTAATTTTTATAACAAAACCTGACTTTTATGTGTTAAGTGATATTCTAACTCGACGTGTAATATTACGTAATTATCTTTAAAGTATGTGTTTTGATAAATCAAAGCATCCATTTTTGGTCAACGTAATTGTTTTGATTTTTAAAAAGTCGTGTATGTTTTGATGATGACAAATCAAAATTTTAAGATATTAATTTTCTCAGTTGATCTTTACTATACACATCCCCCTTTAATTACACACTTTTTTACACTCGATAATACTATATTATAAACTTCTAGCAACGAGTATGTGCAAAACCCATTTTCGCCATCCGTATCACTTTCGGCTTAAGAGTGGCAAGTCGGTAAAAAAAATTAAGGATTATAGAGCCGCACTTTCGCACTTTGCCACCAACAAGTCGAGAGATGGTATGGATGTGTGCCTTTTCGCACCTCTGCTCAAGGCTTGAAGATTTATAATAATAGATATATATTATTCGAGTAATAAAAAAAAAAAGTCAGCAATCTAACAGGGGGTAGATCAACTGTGATACTGTACTTGTGCCCGAAGATCATAACTAAAGTAGTAGTTATGATTTTCATAGTACGGCTCACATACAATTTTTTTTTTTTTTACTATACCGATTATCGAACCAAGAACTGCCCGTAGATAAATTACGGGCTAACCAATATACTATAAAGGTTTAATAATAAAATTTATTTTATTTTTTTTTATTTAATTATTATCATTTTTAAAAATAACGAAATAACGAAATAACTAAATTTTAATAGTACGCCTTACACCGCTAAAAAAAAAGACGAAATCTATATATTCGACGCAACTTTAAGATTAGTATTTTCTAAAATTGAATTTAAAATGTCTATTATCAATCGTACAATATTAATATAAACTAGATTTTAATTGCTAGATTTTCGCTTCGTATTTACTACGCTAAAGTTAGATTTAGTAATACCGTATTATTTAGCATTTTACTATAAATAATGAATTTAATAAATAAAGATTGAATTTTAAATCGTCAAGTTCTTAATACGTAAAAAAAATATTTAATTTTTTAATAAATTTTTATTTTAAATCTCGATAATACTACGTATAATGTTGCGATTTTATCAATAATATTTGAAGTTTTATTGTTTTACTGTCAATATTTGTCATTATAACGATATGTTAAATTATGTTTCACTTAAAGTTAACCAACGATTAAACGTTTCCGTTTAACTTTTTTAATGGTTTTTTTTTTCGGTAATTAAAAACGCTTTATTACTGCGTAAATAGGTTTTACAGTATTAGTGTATGCGACATTATATTGATATAGTACGTCTTAGCCAACTCAAAATACTTTAAAATATTGGGTTATAATTATAAATATAAAATATATAATTAAAAATAGATTTATTCTTAAAATTTCTAAATATTTTACCGAAAATCGATATCGAAAGATTTTAGTAACGTGATTGTTTTTAGCCAATGGGCGAATTTATGTGTAGTACAGTATATAAGGAACTATTGGTTTTTTTTAACACGATAAATTATAACTACGTAAACGTTAATAACGTTAGCTGTTAAAACTTTAGCATTCCTCGTATTTAATTTCTAAACCGGCTACTGCAAAGATGGTTAAAAAGAAAAGTGGAAGGACTCTTAACCCTGCCGATGCTCATCGTATGAATTTTATTGTTTCTGAACGTATTTGATTCCTTTTTAAAGCTTTAATTACAACTATGGAATCTATTGATCATTGCAGGCAAGGCGATGCGCCAGAAAGAAATCAAAAAGGTTTGCAATCTATACTGTTTGTTTCACGGTAAATACTTAAAACAATTATATGTTAACTGAAGCTTCGGTTTATTTAGAATAAAATGGAAAGAAAAAGAGTAAGAACTCTTGTTATGGTACATAAAGATACATCGAAACTTGAAGAAGAGATATCACGATATAAAGCACTTGGTTGGTTTTTTTTTTTTTCCTAATTATATTTATATTATCTATCAATCTTTATTTTTTTTATTTTAAATAATCATAATTTCATTCTAAAAATAGCGTATAACTTGACTATTCATTAGATAAAGAAAAAAGGCTTGATAAAAATGGCAAAGCCAAATTAAAAGATTTAGAGGATAAACTTTCCAAAATATTGGACACAAAAAAGGTAAAATTTCTAGAGGAAAAAAAAAAATTTGATCCAACTTTTTTTATCCACTATCTTAATGCTAATTGTTTGGTATGTAATTACCTTTGTTATTGATAATAGGCACATGGCGTCAGCTTACAAAGGTATTGTATCGTATTTAAAAAATAATTATCATTTTATTATGGAGTATGGTTGATAATATTTTAATATATATGTATAGGAGTAAACCAAAAGATCATACCCCAGTATATTTCCATCCATCATTAAATCCTTCTGGAGCGTTACCGCCAAGTGTCAATAATGGTAGGTTATATTCGTCAAAGATTAGTAATAGGATTACTTGTATTAGAATTATTTATTCAATTTATTCACATACTAATTACGTTATTACAGCACAAGATGGTGATGAAAGTTCTGCAAATGAAGACAGTGACGATGGATATTCGGATGATGATGATAAAGCATCTGAAGGATCTGAAAAGCGTATGCATAATTTTTTTTTATAATTTTTTACAATTTTTTTTTTATAATCTGATTAAAATTCATTCGGACTAATTTAGTTCTTAATAATATATAATTATTTATACATTTATATTTATTAGGAAATAAACAAGAATCTGATGAAGATATTCCACTTCCTCCTGGTAAACCTCCTTCAAATGAATCAGATAACGATTTACCAGAACTACCACCTGGAACACCTCCAAAACATGATGATTCAGATGATGATTTACCAGAATTACCACCTGGTCCGCCGCCTTCATTACACAATAATGATGGAAATGCACAATCTTCGGGAATATCTAGATCACCACCCTTCGGATTTAGATCACCGAGTATGCCTGCAGGTCCACAATATCCACCTCCACAAAGTACTTATATGATGTTCAATAATCCTCCTGGGACATCTAATCATTTAAGGCCTAATATCAGACCACCACCACCGCCAGTGTTCCCATCCGGAACTGGTAGGTAAATTGTAATCGTAAAATGCTTCCATTACTTGAAAGTTTAAGCAAACTAACAAAAATAAAAATAATATATATATATATTTTTTTTAGGCAATATATTTTCTCGACCACCGCCAATTCATGTGATGCCAGGGCAAGGAGCTCCTTTGAGACCATTAGATTCTCGACCGCCACCTTTTAGTTCACAAGTTTCACAATATGGTCCACCGCCACCACCACCACCAGTACAAGGTGTAAATAAGGTGATAAGAGATCATATGAAAAATAATTACAGTATTGATTCATTAGATTCTTATGGTTCTTCCCAAAGAGCATTTCCACAACCCATCGTCACTGACAAGAGTCAACCAATGAATGCATCATTACTTAAATCTACCACGACGGCTACACCGGTTATTCAAGCAGAACCTCAAGTCCGTAATCTTCAAAAAGAGTTAACTACACTTGTTCCTGCTGCACTGCTAAGAAAGAAAGCAGATGCTCGTAAGCCAAAAGTAGCACGGCCTGTCGTAAATGCTGCACCTAATATTGATGATGGTATAGGAACATCTACTTCATCAGTAAAAAGAAATGCTTCAATAGCAATTCCATTATTACAACAACAAACTGATTATGATGTTCAATCATCCGAACAAAAACAACCTGTTGCAAGTACATCATCACCAGCAAAAAAAGCAAAGACTAAAAAGAAAGTTGATGAATATGATAAATTCATGGCTGAAATGCAAGATTTGTTATAGTTTTTTGTTATAGTTTTGTTGGATTTACATAGATTCGTGTGTTTTTTTTTTTTTTTTTTTTTTATACATATGGTTATTTGTATAAATTTTATATACCAAATTAAACATAATGTTGTTAAATCATTAACATTTTCATGCCAAATTTTTTAATGAGTATATGTAGAAATTTTATAAAGTTCGACTACGTATTACTACGAATTATGAATTGGGAAATTCTTTTAACAAGGGCTAATGTATGCTAATGAGTGACATATAGTGATAGTAACACAACATCGAGATCGTTATCGTTATAATCAACGTCAACGTTAAAATAATTCTACACATCAAAAATTAAACTATTGACTTCATATGATGCCAAACAAATTGATTTGCTTAAAATAACTCATAAGAGTAGGTGAGAAAAAAACAAATTAATAAAAATATAGTAATTCTATTGGCTATAAAAATATAACATTTTAAAAACTAATACAGCAATTTGATTGGTTAATATCGAAATGATGTGTTTTTTCATGTAAAATTTTAAAAAACGGAGGGTGAGGGGTTATCGTTATGTTAGACGAAAAATTAAAATGATCTGGCCTAAGATTTTAAAAAACGTAAAAAACGTGACTATGGACGTAAAAATTTAATTATAAATTATTTTTTCAAATATTGATATCGTAATATCAATGTGATGAAAAACATGTAAATTAATTCATCTTATCGCCTTATCGATTTTTGCTCTGAAGAATCCAATTAGTTCTAGAACACACGATTATCCCCTCTTTTTTTTTTAAAGATATAAAATTTCTCGTTTTGATGACCAAATGCACATTTTATCGAAGCGATCAAAATGATTAGGTTTTACACATATTTGATCACATTTAACGTTAATGATCAATTTAATGGAGGCTGTGTCTGATAAAATGAACGATTATCAACTTATTGTTATCTCAACTTATTGTTATCAATTTACAGGTTTTTTTTTACAAATCTTAAATTGATATAAACTTATATATAATTTATAATATTGTATAATATATCGATACAGATGTCGTAGGTAGGAACAGAATTTAAGTGATTCGGAATTTTTAAGGTTATGGTTGAGATTTTTAGTATTCTAATCTAAGTATACTGTAGCATATATATATAATTGTTCTTTATAAAAGAATATATACTTAATATGATCAAACCATTACTGACAAGCTTATTTTACTGATAATTCATTTCACCGACAAAATAATTCTGGTCAATTGCCTTTGGGTCAGGTTTAAAATTAAAATTAAGGTTAGTGCAATTTTTTTTTAAAAAAAACTTGTTAGTGAAATAAGCTGTCGAGTGTGAAATGAACACTGTAAATTTAATTGTCGGTGAAGTGATTATTTGTCCCAATTGATTGAGACCTGATCTAAATTATTTTGTTTAGGCTGGTAATTAAGGCCAATTGACATCTGGGGACAATATGTATATACGTTTAAGTAAAAAATAAACTTATTTTTATAAAACTCTAGTAGATAGTAGATGGAAGCCAAGAGTAATTACATAAAGGTTTGTGATGTATTTGATCTGGCAACAGTTATACAACAAAAGGTTGGAAAAAATGTGTAAAGTAATTTGCTAGTACATTTCTTGGTTTTAATATTATAGAAAGCTTTATAGATATATATATATATATATTATTTAAAATATCAATAAATCTGATTTATTTTGAGTTATGCTACATATCAATATTAATTTATAAATTTACATATGAACAAGGAAGTAATTCTAATGTTTCAATCTTTAGACCAATATCCCAGACCAAAGAGTTAAAATGCAAGTAAAAACAGCAATAAAAATCATTGCAAAATTACTAGTAACATTCTTAGTACCCAAAGATTTTGGAGGGTTAGTACTAGCTGGACCACTAGCACCAGTTGCACCACCACCAGGCTGACCTGGAGATGAAGAAGATGTATTACCGATCGTAATAACACCCCACATACCACCAGGTTGACAATGAGTGGCTACACTACACATGTAGAAATATGCACCAGATGTTTTGTTGATCGTGATCGAATAAGTGTTTGTTGGTGGATTCACTAATGATGCGACTAATTAACAAGACAAAAAAAATTATGTTTGAGAAACGAAACCAAAAACGTGTATATCTTAGTACATCTATAGATACATACAGGCGTTAGGATCAGCGGATTTCTGGCAAGATCCGGCAGGACCATCAGTTTGGACAACATCGTGCATACCACCAGCAAAATTCCAAATTATCTGTTATTAATGAATAATTTTCGTTCAATTCGGTATTCGATATTTTGATGTAAACATGAAAAATAAACACGATAAATGAATAAATGAATAACATACTTTATCACCCTGCTGAACAGTGAGGTTTTGAGGAATGTAAACAGTCCCTGGACCAACTGTTACGGTATGATCGGTAGCATATGTTGATAAAGGTATAAAGAAACAAGTTATTAAGATGCACAGCATCATTTTAGTAACGAATTTGTAATAACTATCCATTATGATTTGACTTGTTGAAAAACAACAATAGGTAGAAAATGTATGAAAAGTTCAGACATATTTATATTTTTTTTTTTCAATTTAAATAGTCATCGGGACTATAAATAGTAATAATGGTTACCACGTAAAACCCGGAATTCAGTAATGGTACGTAGATAATATCGATATACTTTCTTTTTTAAAAAAAAAAAAGCCTTACTATGATGAGAAAAATCAATGTACGTATTGGGATAAACATTACCATTAATGCTTGGCACTATGGTATATCATTCCCGTTTACTAAAAATATAAAACTGAGACGTATGTACGTGCTTACGTACTTAAGTACGTACGTACAGTACGTGTCAGTGTTAAATTCAATTATGGTAGACGCGTAATTGAAAATCAAATTGAAAATCAAATTCTTTATAGTTTTATGAAAAAAGACTTATTGAAAAAAGACTCAATTATTTAAAAAATAACTCTAAGAACTCATTAAAAATAGAAAACAATTTTTTTTATTTTTTATTTTTTATTTATTTTTAGAATAAAAAAAAATACATGAATAAAAATTTATAATACATCATTTTATCTTTACAATAATTTGTAACTGCAAGAGTTTTTTTTGGCACAAGAATTCATGCAACTACAATACTACCTGACATAATATTTATTTTTTATATACCAAGAGTAGGAAAAAAACAAATAAAATTCCGTTCAGCCGAGATACACAAATGGCCAAATTGTCTCATTATATGAAAAGATTGTTTTTTAAAAAAAGTAATCATCATTTATTACACAGCTTTATTAAACGAAACCTTTTTAATAATATATATATATATATATATATATATAATCAATAATAGATTAAATTTTCCTAATCTATATCTAATGATTCGGGGCGTTAGCCCATATCGATATTCAAGGTTAGCAAAGAAATATCGATTTTAAATTTGTCAGTGTAACCAATGAAGTCAGTATAGAAGATCCTGCTTTCATTTTCATTTGCTTATGAATCTGTTTAACACGATTGTAAATCATTTAGGAAAAAAAAAGATTGTTCTCAAAAGATTTTTCTAAGAAAGTTTCATTGCACCATTCCGTGTAAAAATGGTCCCAAATTAATTATACTCTCTTCGGAAACTTGCATCTATAGAACAATGAAAAAATGTTTCATTCATGGGGATCTAAAGAGGCATTACATTTAAGGGCATTTTAGAAAGGTCCGATTATAAAAAAATTGGAGAGATACGTTCGTACGTAGTTAGTGAGATATTTTTGATAACCATCCAATTAAAACTCATAAAGATTTAATTTTATTTTAAGTTCTATGAATTTATAGAATTTTGTCAATTTTAGTTAGACTTTATCGATATAAATAAATCAAGTATTGAAATGATCAAATGACTGTCAAAATGACTATTAAAAACCTGAAAGAAATTCAGGTACGTATAAAGTTAACTCGATTTTATAATATCAGATATATAATATATATTTTATTATAATAAAAAAAGCAATTACATCCAATTAACACAAAATACGTAATAAAGATAATTCTATTTGTCAAATGATAGATAACGTGGTAAAAGATTCCTCAATTCAAGAAGTTCTTGTCTTAATTGATCAACTTCTTTCCTGATATTTTCTATTTCAACAATATTACTATTATCTTTAAGCTGGTCAGAATTTGTTGTCTGATTAACGTTTCCGCCAGTACCAGGATTTGCCCCTGATTCTAATAAAGACCATCTCATTTCATCAAGTTGTTCAGGCCCGAAACCTTTAAACGGATAACTAGTTTTATGAATATGATCAGAGTCATCATCACACATTTGTTTCAATCTTGTTTTTATAGCAGCCGATTGTGGTTTTTCAATACGATCTAAAACGATAGCATTATTGTATAGGCCATACCCGTTACCAAAATGGTTAAAAGAAATGGATGGAATCGAACGAAATATATGTTTTTGAAATATTCCGAACGGGTTTAACCGATTGTCACCCCATAAAAGTCTATATATTAAGAAAAGCATTCCTATGAAACCACCAATCGTTGGAAGTAGGTCATATATTGTGAAATGTAAACGTTCTCGGTTAACAGTAACTTCGTATCCACCAAGAGCTGGTTCATAATCAGGTCTAATAAATCAAAAAAAAAACAGATATTAATTTCAAATAAACATGTATATATATATGGTTATCGAACAAATCTCGTTTTATAGTCACATGCTAAATGTAAAATATGATTGGTCAATAATCAGCCAATCAAATGTCTTGACTAGCATGTGATATTTACACGAACGACAACGAATCCGCGCAATAGCGATATCAGACATTATTGTCTAGCTTGTTCTTGTTAGTTTCTGATGATTGAAAGTCCAATTTAATTTTATAAAGTAAAATCAGGAAAAAAAAATCGAACATTCTTATCAGAAGAAACTGCACGTATATCTACGAATACGTGATAAATATATATATATATGATACATATGTATATATATATACACTATATATATTGATATAAATATATGTATATATATATATATGTATATATTACGTAGATTTAAATTTACCGAATATGAATTTCTCCCCATTTCTTTGTGTCATTTCTGAAAACCGGTAATGCTCTCCTTGCAGGAGATACATCATAAGCAACTTGGAGTTTTCCATCCTTTTATCATAATAATTTAGGGAAAATAAACTTAACATATTAATGTTATCATAGTATATAATACTATATATATAGTATATAATACTTACCAATTTATATCGTTCTCTTCGTGAAAAACTGAACAACGTTTCGCTTGGCAGATTAAAGAATTCAGGTCGAACTAAATATGGATCTTGTCCCATCCATGGCCAAAAGGCTCCGAATTGAACTGTAATTTAAAAAACGTTCATTTTCTGTTAGTACAAAATTTTAATTAAAAAAATTATTAAATTATTTTCTATAGAACTTTCATTTCAAGTTGATTCCACGATTGAGAGATTTAAATTCACATAAAACGCCATGGATACTTAAAGGTGATTGATAATGACCTTATAATTTCACAAAAAGATTGCTGCTGACACAACATTCACGTGTTTATGGACACAACAATGGTCGGTATTACAAGAATACACTTACCCTAATGTTTACCCTAATGTTAATTCTATTCAATGTTGCGTCTACCAATCATTTGAATGTTGTGTCCGTAATTTTACCATTTCACAATTGTGGAATTTGCCGCGGCAAAAACTTAAACCTTAACATAACTGATAACAAATTCTAGCGACCATCCTAGCGTTACCACTATTTGTTTTAGTATGCATTTGTGCTTTGATTTTAGGTTACGCCTGGTCTTGAAATTTGATTTGAGATGGAGAAATTTTTCAGATTGATAACATTGATAACGCTAGGACAGTTACTCTAACAGAGTTCGTGTGATCACGTGCCCACAAAAGTCTGAAGAATCAATATATACCCCATCGAGGATTTGACTGGACGGGTATAGTGGATTCGTTAGAATAAAGATAAATGGTCATCTCTTCTGTCAAGTTTGGTGAAAACATTGCCGTGTATGGAGGTGTAAGTATGTAACAACTTCTTGCATTTGGAAGCCATGCTTATAAAATAAAATACGTATAAGGACATTGATTAAAGTTTTAATATTTTGGTCTGAATATTTGATTCATACTACCTTCTCCAATTGTATCTGGGAAAATAAATTTGAATTCTTCAATAGGTCTTTGAGCCCACCAACGATTATCACATTCGGTTCCTTTAGTGCCCGTCAGTCCCAAATAACATTTTGGTTGAACATTAATATTTGGTCCACAAATAACTAAACCAGGCATATATAACCTTTCACGAACTTCGAAATTAGTTTCGATAAGTGGATAAGATTTTGCTAATATTGCTTTATGAATGTCATAAACTATGAAAGCCACAAAAATTATGGTAAGCAAGAAAATTGTCAAACATCTTGTGATATTTTCATATTTGATATTGGATGAAGGTGTGTATATATTATAGAAACAATTTGTAAGACCCATTATTTTTCTTTGAAAACGAAATTTTATAATAATATAAACAAAAAAAAAAAAAAAAATCCTTTTTTTATTTTTGCAATTTTGAAAGGTCTAATATATTAAATATAAAAAAAAAATTATTTACCTCTTGAAGAGAAACAAGATGATTTAGTGAGAATCAATCAATGATATCGATATCAATCTTTGCATTGTCACATTGATTGATTTCGAGTACATGATCGAATTATACTGTTAATATCTGCATGAATTTTATTTCGTAGGTAGAGGTTATACGTAATAATTATCGGACAAAATGTACAAATATTCAATTGCCTTCTCAAATTATTTATCTTTTATCCGTTAATTTAGAAATTAAAAGGTTTCGTATTCGCGTTTGAATAATTCGATTTGTTTCAATAAAGTTGATGTATCACTGGATCCTGAGAAACCGAGCCCCAATATTATAAAATCTTAAAAAAAATTTTTGCATATTCAACTGTCTGGAGTTGATCATATGTCACATAGATTGCTGTACGTGTACGTACGTACGTAATAAAACATTTACCGTAAAGTGCTGACTCAAGTACCCGGCGTGATAAATAGTATAGATCAATATTTTAAAATGCTATTTATGTGTGCATGTGATGTATAATATACGTGAATT